AGCAATAAACACTAAATATTTAAAGGTAATGAACATTTAGCCTGAATATCTACTTGCATGAACACTGCATGGGAAAGTTTTTCTATAACTGTTCTGGGGTACCAGTGTTTGTGACTGTACATCCCATTGAGAAATATAATGAGTCCCAATGGGCAAAATGAAGAATAGAGAACATCTGACCTCAATCATGGGCGTCAGTATGAGAAATTCATAACACATGGCCCAAAACTTGCAAGCAACAATCTTGAGGTAATGGCAGACAGATAGATGGCAGCTGTTTATTTGGACATCTGGATCTCAGTGGCTCCAGAACTGGATTGTTCTCACATGAGATCTGTCAATGAGAAACTCAGCCCATTTTCAGTAATGGTGTTGAGAATCTGAATCTAATCTTATCTAGTACAAGAAATGACAAATTCTTACAAACACATAAGACCCCTGTTTCAGGAAAGCAAAGGTTGCCCCCAAACCAAAACATTTAAACAAGAAAGATTATTTTTGAGTTGTATGGTTAAACTATCCTTAACCTTTAGCGTTTACCCTCAAAATGGGTCAAGGATAAGTTAAGGGTTTGGACTGTCTTCCTGTATTATTTGTTATTTTCTAAATATATGCAATTTTTAGATGATTTTGAAGGTATGTGGGTGTGTGTATGTGATACTATTGAACTCAAGGCCTTGCACTTTCTAGGCAAGCACTCCACCTCTTGAGCCATGCCCCAGCCTTTTTGCTTGCTTCTGTTTTTCATATAGGGTTTCATGCTTTTGCTGGGGCCAGTGATCCTCTTGTCTCTGCCTCCAGTGTGGCTGGGATTGCAGAAGTGCACCACCATGTGTGGTCTATGTACTTACTTTTTTAATGTTCAATATCATTTCCTTTTTAGAGAAGAGCAATGAGCAGTGAAGTACTGATGGGCAATGAAATTCTAGCATATTCAAGTCTAGTTGTATCAAATTTAAATTATGCACTATAAAACTATTACAATTGTTAACTAGGAATTACAATGTATATAAGAATTATACCTTATGTTTAGACAATCAGCTTTATCAATATATTAAGTGGAGGAATAGTTAAATCTTAAAAATTGCAAGGTTAAAATTGTTAATAAATATTGAAGACTATTTTAGCCAAGTAAATAGGATTCAGCACATAATAACTTCAGAATAATTGATCAAAAACTAAATAGAATGAATAAATGAATGGAATTAATGGAAATGATGCTTTCTTGGAAGGTCACTACTGCTGAGGAAACTGATGAATGCATGTATGTAATTTCTTATATAAATCCCTATTCAAGGTCGATAGCGGCAAGTGTAACAAGATGCATTTGTATACTCATGTGTGCTGTGTTTGAAAGAGCTTTGTACATAATGACTATACAAATTCCAAACCATGAAATAATTGAAGACAAATGTCTTCATAAGATTAATCATAGTTTGAGGGGTTACGCTTGTTTGCATGATGTATCTGGTTTTTGTTTTTATTTATGCAAGGCCTGTACATTTCAATACTTTCATTGTCGCAGCTGGCTGGTAGGGTATGGAGTTTGTAGCAAAGATTCTGAGTGGGGTCTATCTCCTTATAGTTCCTCAATAAATAAGCAAGCTTTACGAAAAAAATCACTTTCTCTTCACATTGTGAAATATTTAAGTTCATTGTCAGAAATCTAGAGACGTTCTAGAAAATATTTCATTATTTTAGATTTAGGGAGTTCTGTCTAGATTTTCATTTAGTCCATTCCTGAGAAATAAGGTTGAGGGAATAGACTTATTTTTAAGCCTGTATTTCATATTATACATATTATTTAAGGGGAAGTACAAAATGTAAGACAAAAGTTTAAGACAAATTACATATGGCTATTAAATACCAATATTTCAGGGACCAAAAGATGGAAAGGTATAATAAATCACTGATCTCAGTCGTAGACACCAAGGAAAATCTGAATGAGAATTAAATGTCTAGGATCCATTAAGTCAAAATCTCTCATAAGATGACAACGTCAAAGTCTAAAAATATGATTCTGAAACACAGAGGATATCTGTGAGCCACTGGTACAGAGAGAAAACAATGAAATTACACAACCAGTACCCCAAACCAGTTGCTTCTAACATCTTGGGAGCAGGGTAATTACCCAGTCCTAAAGACATTTACATCCTTTAGGTAGTCAGACTCTAGGTTCTGCCTTTTAAATTAGAGAAGAGCTGATTTAATTGGATGGCTCCTAATGAATGGGTAGAGTCCTGACTCATGGACATGTGTTAGGAGAAACAGGTGGGCAAGGACTGTTAATAGTATATGAAACATCTTTGGAAGCTGCTTTAAATCCTTCACTTGAATGAGTCTCAGGCTTGGAGTTGCAGGTTGAACCTCTGGGAGAATATGCAATATTGGAAACCAAATTTTATAATGGTACTTCTTGAAAAAAGAAGCATTTTGTTTTTGTTTTGGGAAAGAAAATAAAACTCAAGAAAGGCTACAATCAGATGGAGGTTAAAGTATGATTCTTGAACGTGAGCACTCAGCACAATCACCTGGAAGGATAGTTACAACACAGATTGCTGGCTCCACTCTCAAACTACCCAATCAGCAGGTCTAGGGATGGCCAGAGAATCTGGACTTTTAGATCATACTGCTGGGGTGGTTATGAGATCACACTTTGAGAACCAGTACTTTAAGGAATACCAAACAAAGGATATGTAGCTTCCTTACCAAACTGTGATTTGTCCTCAGTGGAATTTAATCAGTAGGTTTTCACAGAGTTAAAATTAAAAAATGAGCATCGACCACCACTGTTAATTTGGAACAGTCAAACAAACTTCACAAAAGACTTCTCCAATGGAAAAAATGGGAAACTCTTTCCACAGTACACACTGTCTTTATTGGCTGTGGTCTTAGTCAAAGCACAGAATGAACCTTGGCCAGCGGCATGAGGTCTCTCAAGCCTGCAGCTGTTGGGAGGAGGCTGCTCTGCCAATGACTCTGGGCAGGAAGTGCCTAATTAGAACTGATGCATCCATTTCACTTAGCCCCGGGGGTGGGGTGGGGGAGGGGGAACTTCCCTAGATTCCTCCAAATCTCTTTTAATACCCACCCTCCCAAAGCTACCTTGTTAGATGGCTTTGCTCCCATGGCTGCTTCACTTCTAGTAACTGACAGCTTGAAGTTCATTATGATGGGAAGTTTTTAAAATGCTAAGTCATAAATCAAGACTATATCTTCACTCACAGTGGGATTAATGATCACATACATAAAATGGAAATCCAAAATGACAGACAGGCACAGGGCACCCAGATGAAAATTTGAAAGAAGGCCACTTTGCATCCAGATCCAAACTGCTGGCAGGCAGTCCAGAAAGAACATTAAAGATGATTGCAACCTTCATCAGAACCATGGCTTTATAGTGCACATTGAGTTCAACAGGACTTCTCACAAGCTGCTTTCCAGGACCCTGTCTCAGATAAAGGATGGAATGCTACTGTAGTTTTTTTCTTTCCAATAAACAGTTCAAAATGTGCATTGTTGAAGGCAACCAAGCTTCCTTTGTGTTCATATCATTTTTCAGAACTTGTGCCATCTTTTATTCTCTTATCTAGCTAAGTGCTCAGCAACAATGGACAAACAAAATCTAAACTAGCATTATCACTACCCTAGGGATAACACTGAATAAGAGTTATACAGCATGATCTGATAATAGCTGTTAAATTTAAGAGGGTGGGGGAGGCTTTTTTGTAGAGGGGATGTATTCAAATATTTAGATTTAAAATTCTGTGTGCAAGTGTTCACAAATTTTCAGAACTGCTCTTCTGGCTTATAATGTAAGGAAGGCAATATACATAGGTTCTCTGATACATAAAAATATATAAATACTATATTCGAAATAGTTGTGTATCATTATCATACAAAGATGAAAAATAATGATCTGGTTTTACTAAGAGAAGCTTTTCAGACCTGATTAACGGAGCAGCCTACACCACAAGAGAAACATTAAGTGGTACACGTGTTAACCTCACTAACCTTTTGGTTGCCATTATCCTAATGTTCCAAGATACATACATAGGGCAAGTGAGCATGGCTCCAGTTCACAGGCTAGAGTCCAAATAAAGGATGTGAAGCTACTTCCAAAGATCTGTGAGTAGGATGACTGGTGACCAGAGAAAGAAATCAAAAAGAGACACTGTAAGGGAGGAAATATTTCAGCTAGCAATACAGCATTTCAAGGACAAAAGAGATGCACTATCTTGAAGTAAAAATTTTCGCATTGTAGGCCAAGTTGACTTGAATTTTCAAAGCTGTTTGTTTGACCCCTTGATGGCTTCAAATGACTTACAAGTACACCTAACAATTTTTCCTTGAAAAATTTGTAAAGAAAAAAAGGGAAGCTAATTTAACAGAATATCTGATACTATAAAAATTAGACTTGGCTTTTTTTTTGATTTCTTAGTAAGTATGATTTTAAGAAAATATTAAATCAGAATTTAAAGGAAACTGACAAGTAGTAACTAATGAAAGAATTTGTAATATTATCACACTTTTCCCTCAGAATATTTTCTTACTATTAAATTGTAACCTTTGAACTGTTGTAGTTTAGCATCCACTAATTTTGTTTAAAAACAAAAACTGCTATGACCCCATATTCTGACCGGTTTATTTCAAGTGAAGTATATAGCTAAGATGACACAGAGCTCTGAAATATAAGCAAAAATTGTAAGTTTTATTTTATTTAAATGCTAGTCAAAATGCTTTACTGAAAGAATAAAAAATGAGAGGGTGTCAAGTCATGGAAATGTAAAGAAAGATGACAGAAAATAGACAACATGACAGTCTGGCACCTGTCAGTTTAGGAAAAACAGAGCATCTATTCCAGGATATGGCAACTCCCACTTCTTAAAACACAGTTAAATTCCTGTTAGAAGTATAGGTGATAAATGCTGTATGGCTCCATTTTGACTATGGTAGCATTTGGTTTTCCATACTACTCCCACCTCAACTATCTAAGGCTGTACATGATGAAATGCAGAGGTCATCACATTATATATTGTTTTCACTATTCTCCTGAAAGGGAAACCAACATTCTTATGTTTAGAAATCCAGTATGTTCCTGTAGAGAGAAAGATGGACACGTTCACACTCACTATTATCACAAGGCATTTATCCTAAGTCAATGTCAAGCTATGATGGTGAAGAAAAGATATCAACAATTATTACTAGAGTTACAACTGTGAGTAACCAAAGATGTATGACATAAAAACCCTTTTTAATTTGCTGGTTCTGGAAAGAAATTCAAGTGGTACTACAAGACCCACTCTGCCCCCTCAGTGTGGACTATAGGGTTACTAGACTTCAAAGGTAAATAGCTGACTTGTGTTGGGCTTGAATTTAGGTAGGATGTGGACAAGAGCATCGATATAGCAAGAAAAGCTAAGATGAGGCAGACTAGGGTAGAATGGGAAGTGGGGCTGGATTTACTAGGCCAGAGCAGATTGGTTTACTTTGCTACTAATTAAAAGCAAGGGTGACTTCTCTGAAATGTATTTGGGGGCTTGGAATCTAAAGTTCTGCTTCTCAGTGTAAGCATTTTTCCCAGCCTTAAATTAGATGTGCTGTATTTTATATGGAAATGAAATGCAATGGAATCTTTCATAGTTTAGATTTCTGTTTTCAAATATGAATAAGTTGATAAGTTTCTACTGCTAAACATTTGAGAACTTAAAAGCTGAAAGATGTAACTATTTTTATGTTATATTTTGATGCATGAAATGCCTTTATATAAAAAACTCCAACTTCTTTTCCAGCGTAAGGTTCATGGTTTAGTTTTGATCCAAAAAAAGCCAGATGCTTTCATGAGAACAGCTTCCTCATTTGAAGGCCATGAAAATCACAAATTTTCTGTTTTCTTTTGTTTAACATTGAGCGAAAAATCCTGAGACAGTTTGTTTGGTGAGGGGGCATAAAAATCTTTGAAAAGGAATCACTTACTCAAATAATCATTCATATTCTTGGTTTCTATATGTTTTGTAGTTATGTTTATAATAAGTCTGAAGCCTACGTGAAACAATTTGAGATATTTACCCCTTCCTAAAAAAGAGTTTGCTAAGTAAATATACCATCTCATTAGATGTAAGAATTTGATCTGATTTAAAATACTATTTGTTATTTAACTACAAAAATCAGAATAGACGAGAGAAAATGAAACAATCACTGTAACTCTAAATTTACTATGCATACCACTGAACTGAGTTTCAAAATGAAAAATGCATTTACCAGAGTTTCAAGGAGAAAAATGAAGAAAAACAGGCTTAGTTGTTTTCTTAGGTAAGTAGGCAGGCATTTTTTTTATACGTGTAACCTTTAAGTGATATATGCATACTATTTTATTAAGTTATAGATTTTATCTCTTTGTTATTAAAGTATGCGAACTATAACAATAAGAAAAGAAAGTGGGAAACTAGGTGCATAAAATGTTACATAACCAATTGGTTTTCGACCTTCAAGTCAGACACTAGTCAAAGAAATAATATGACCTTAGCCAATGGGAAAAACATCAAGCTAGATTTCTCCCAGCTGTGTTTCTCCCTTCTGTGGCCTTCAGCAACTTCAATGGAAGTTTAGTGTGCTTAGGGAGAAAGAGAGCCAGAAGAATCAAAATTATTAAACCAAAAAGGTCAATCTTCAAATTAAGTCTTGGACCAAACTCACTACAGAATAAGGTTTAATCTTTTCCAATGGCCCAGTCTACAAGCAATATGGCTGACCAGCTACAACTCAAATGGGGCCCATATCACAAGTAATTGAGGTTTTCCTGCTAGAGGAATGAGTAAAGGAAAAACAGTTGCTGGTTTTGAAATATACAAATCAAGCTATTAGTGTTTCCTTGGCATTCCTTTTGATTTCCAACTCAAGCTTATGGTAACTGCAAGAGATAGGAAAAATCTTCATAGGAGACAGGTCCTTGGATTTAATTCCATAAACACAGAGGGCCAAGGAATTTTGACAAAATTGTTGCTCACAAAAGGTTGACTTTGCCTTTGAAGTTCTTGTGTGATCCATATTTAAAGTTGGACACCTTCATTCATCCAAATGTAGCATAGGGCATTCAATAACATGATATAATGGCCTTATTTTTTCCAGATTTAAAAAGGTCTTTCATAAGATTCCTCTCTATTCTGTTGTAAAACCATAAGCTAATATGTTTTCAAGAATTTTCTGAGTCAATAATCTGAGTTCCTTTAAACTTTCAGGTCTAATTGGCTTGATGTATTATTATTTTTTTAATGATCACAGATGTGTTAATAATGCTTCAGGTCAGTTCTCTTTAAACAGAAATGGATTGCATGAAGTCCCCACTGACACATAAAGGGAAAGGCTTTCTTTATTCTTGGGATTTAAATAAAATCCGTTAATTTTATCCCTTAATTTCTTCCACATTGGTTATTTAGGCCCAAGGAGATAAACTATTATGGTGTTAGTCAAAACACCAGTAAAGACCCTAGAATAATTTCTCAATATCCTAACTATTACCCTTAGTCAGACACAGAGTATTTGGAACAGCAAGACTGTGAGCTGCTCCTTCAAAAGGGCTCTTCCCACTAAAACCTCAAAATGCTCATTAACACATTAATAATTCATAGAAATCCTGAGGTTAGATAATACAAAATAAGCCTTATTTAATGTTGTCTAATTTAGATTTTTTTCTAGCTAGCCTGACCACATCACACCATTTTTCATGAATAACATCAAAGACACTTTGAGACATACCCACCTGTTTTTGTATGTTTTTTTTTTTTCCTTCTAGCACACTGACTAGCATACAGTAGGCACTAAATAAGAGGGTTTTGGAATGAACAAATGAGAAAATGTGTGCTGCACTCTCAGAGGTTTATTGTTTGTGTTATTTAATTTTTTGTTATGAAACATCTCCATTTTCTGTAGTAAGAAGTGCATTCATGTTCATGGAAAGAGAGGGTTCATTTCTTCTGCACTTTCAAATATGGTGCATTAGGGAAATGTCTTGAGTGGAAAAGGAAGCATCATAATGAAATGTGAGAAATCTAATAAACAAATATATTTTAACAAACACAAAATGTAATGCACATTACAAAGGAATGGCTTTATTGTCCTTGTCTCTGTGCAAAATCTTCCCACCATGACCCCATAGGATTCAGTTCCTGGACATTTACCATTATTTAGCATTTGATATAAATCTTTCTCTGTTGGTAATGAGCATGTAAAGGGGATAAGAACACTTTGATGTTGAGAAAATCTGGGATGTGAAAAGCAGGTGGCCAGTACCAAATTATACAAGAATTCTGCCAGAGTGAACCTCATGGACACAGGAGTTAGGTGCTGTGATTTTGGTCATAGTAAACCAAATATGGTCCAGGATATGACTGGAGTGATCACAGTGGGACATTTGGCCACAGAAAAACAAATAAATAAATTGTATTATGAATTCTTTACAGTGTTTTATAATTTAGATATTTATAAATTGTTTATTGCTAATAAAAATGGATGATTGGAAATAATTTTAAGAAACTACATGCAGTAATAGTCTGCTGAGGTGATAGATATAACAGTCCTGACCATTTGCAAAGTGGCCTATCTAATATTATATCTGCATATCTCCATGACATGTTATAACACATGATAATTTATTAGGGAGAAAGCATTTGAAAAATCAATTGTATAAAAATGCTCCCTGAACTTAAAGTGCTGGCAACTTTTGTCTAAAGGAGAAGTCATTTTCCTCCTTTTAGCCAGTGATTTTTGAAAGGCATCAATTATAAATCCAGTTTTTGGTTGGGAAACTGTGACTGACCACATATGAAAAAAGGAAAATGCATAGTGAAAATATAACTTTCTCTGCTGGTATAAGTTGCCAACAAGTTAGCTACATATCATTCAGAAATTGATGTTACTTGGATTGTTTAAACTTATATCATTCATGAAGACTGTCCTCTTAGTCAATGTTTGGCAATATCAAAGAGCTGAAGCCACAGGTATGCACAACAATCAATCTGGGCCAAATGGCAGCAAGGACACAGATAGGCTATTATTTGTAAAACACACAAGTAAAATAACTAATTACATTTTGCTTTTTTTGCTCTCATATTCATCCTTCTTGGATTGTGGACTTGTTCCATTCATTGGTAAATTTGAGACATCTTCCTTGATTGAAGCTGAATCTGGAGCAACAGTTCGTTTGGTAAATGCTGACAAGGCTAGAGGAAAGAGAAAAACAAACCAATGTCATGAAACTCGGCCAGACAAAAGACTAACTTTTAGAAGGTAATTAATTAATCTTGGTATTTAATCTAGTTTTCTGTAATTAAGCTTTACATAGACTAACAGACCTTTAACATAGATATAATGTGTATATTTTCAAAATACATATTGTATAATTTTAAAACTTTATTTTTTAATTTGAGAGTATCTGAGAGTAAAATGTGTGTTTGTCAGAATACAATGATGTAAGTATACACATATAGACACACAGACACACACAGAGAATTCTACAGGGAGAAATTTTAAGGGCCTTCCTTTTATAGAATTCTCTTTGTTATATCCCTTAGTCTACTAACAATAGATTTGGAATCTAGGTTTACTCTTTTTCTACTTCTTACGTCTCTTCTGAGCTCTAGTTGCCTGAATTCACCTCTCAAGGTGAACTCTTCACTCCAGATTTCTATTCTTGGATGCCTGCACATCCCTTACTTTTTTTCCATATAGGAAAATGATGTACCCACCCATTCAGGTTTTTCACTCTTTGGTTCTTCCCTTAGCTTTGACCTGCCTGATCCGCTTATCCAATTTAAAAGTAATATCTCATGGCTCTACCTCTCAAATTCACTTAAGTCCTTTTGCTTCACACCATCTTCATCATGACCACTCCAGTCTGGGTCACCATTTTCTCGTTTCCTTTTTGTTCCCTTAGTCTCCCTTCTCCACACTCTAGCCAGAACTACTTTTCTAAAAAGCAGATCAGATTATGTAATTGTCTGGTATAACCTTATCCCCCTGCTCTGTAATGCCTTTAAGTGAACTCAGAATGAAATCAAAACATCAGCCTATGGCTGTACCCTTTCACCCCTCTTGCTGGGTGTTCCATCCTTCCAGCAGACCATAGTCCCTTGTTCTCAGGGCCTTTGACCTTTCTGCTCCTGAAATCATGACTTCTTTCTATCCAGATGGTTCTTTTGCTTTCATCTCATTTGTAGCATCCTCAGAGAGGCATCCTCTGATTAACTATATGAAGCAGTGGTCCTGGTAATAGGTACCCTCCATCACTTCACTTTATTGCACCAATTACATTTTAAATTATTTGCTTACTTGTCACTTCCTATTTTTCCATGAGATGAGGTGACCTTGTCTGTCTTGTTCATTACTATCTCTTCCAGAACTGAACACAGGGTCTTGTGCACAGCCTTTTAGCAAATATTGGTTATACAAGTGAATATACATAAGTGATTCTTAAGAGATAGTCAAATGGAAATTTTCTTTCTAGCTACTTTCTAGAAGGCATGTAGAGAGCAGCTTGTCAAATCACAGGTTATCACAATTAAATTATGTAAAAATATCTAGCATTTATTTGGACAGTGAAAAATACTGAAACATAGTCACATAAAATGAGCCTATAAAAAGCAGAGAGACCAAGTGTGCCTTCTTGGAATAAATAATCCTCTAATGGACAAGAAGCAAGTTTTCTTACCTTATCAGTACCTCAGACATTTTTATTGCCATAAATTGTTAGCATTTTGTCATACAAATTTGAGAACAGATTATCTGTCTATTCAGAATTAACAATGTGGATCTTAAATTATACTATAGAAGTAAAACTAGGATGCTGTTCTTCCTATAGATAAACTATTTTTCATCTAGTGGACTTAAACTCCACTAATGGCACATCAAAACACGAATTGAGAATGGTGACTTTTTATAGCAATGTAAGTTGAGATAAGGGAGTAAATTGCTTTTTTAAAGCAACTTTCACTGATTTTATTTTCTAAGAATATAAAGTTGCAATAAAACATAAAATTCACTTTTAAATCCCATAGTAATTTAATTAACATTTTGCCCCATGAAAAATCACAGTTCTTTCTCTAAGGGTTTACTCAGTTACTTTTTAAGATTTACAGAAAATTTGCAATCTACATTTATTTTTAAATTTTGGTTTCGAGACACTAATTCCATAGAGTAGGTATGTTGATCTTAAAGGACTGAAGATATCTAGAAGTCAGCAGATTGCTACAGACCTCACTCAAGTCTAGACTGGGCCTAGCATTGAAAGTGAAGACCTGTCCTAGGATTGTGTTCCTTTCCTTTAAAAGGAGCTCTACATGGAGACTAGTGGTCAGTTGTTACTTATAAAAAGTAAAAATGACAGTTCAAAAGCTGACATTATAAGTCTCTCTTACTAAGCCCCCACTGTCTCCAGCTGAAGGTAATGGAATCCAAGCCTTCTAAAAGAGTGTCCTGACTCACAGCCATAACTCCTAGGCAGCCAGGATAAATTTGCTGGTGATCATAGCTTTAAATAATGGATTTCTGTGTTCCTATTTCCAGTGGTAATATAAACTTACAATTTATACATTTCTTCCCTTCTTCCTGGCAGAAGGAATCTACCTTTTCATGAATTGACTTGAACTACACAAAGCTGACATAAATTACTTCTTAAAACAAACTTTCATTAATGCTGGATCACTTCAGAGACCACAAATTATGCAGTATTTTCCCATTTCCTTTGTTTTTTCCATGGTCAGTGATTCTATGCTTGAATCTGGTCAGTTTGACAGGGCACCTAAGTCAGCAGAATGAACCCTCAACATCCACGGCATAGACAAAAGGGCCTCATGCAGCACAAATTCCCACTTGAGTAAGAAGCTGTCTGTTCTGTGGGCCCAGAAACTAAGGGTCTATGGTCAGCTCCTTGCCAAATCTCTACACAGGTTGAAAAGGCTGGAAACCCAAAAGCTCAACTCTCACATCCATTTAGAAATTAACAAGAAAGTTGGACATTTGCTGGTCAGATATAAAAACTGGGGTTTTCTTAGTAGCATTAATCTTCATGAAACTCATTTTTAGTCAAGTGTACATTCACACACATTAAATCAAACAGTATCAAAGGGTTGAATAGAAAAGCAGGAGTTTCTCACTTCCCCTCTTATAATCTTACAGTCCCCCGGAGTAAATCATATTCAACTCCTTCACCTTTATTTTCTGTATTTGCTCCATTTTTGCAGGAAAAAAAGCACCTATATTACTATTTTCTGATTTATCATTTTTAGACATTATCCACACCCATCCACTTCTCTTCACTCATTCTCTCAATATAGCTACATCTGAACTTTTAGTTTGTCAATACTGAGTGTTTATATTTTATTTTATGACTGTGTAAATAAATACAGCTCATACAAACTAAGTAGTTATACTGTGACAATGTTTCTTGTTCATTTTTTACCTTCTGTTTATTAATTGGTCCATGTTTCATTTATTTTTAACTGCTTTTTCCTTTGTGACTATTTCTAATAGGACAATTAGATCTCTCATACATCTTTTTGTAGGTTGTTTTTTTAACCTTAAGAGTTCAACTGTTATCAGATAATCTGTCAGTTCTTTGTTTCCCAAAGATTTTCTCAATGGAACCTCTCCTTTTTTCAGCATAGGAGAATTTAAGAATGTGAATCCCCAAGTAGTGAAGAGGTCAGGTAGAGATGAATCAATTTGGGTTGTAATACACTTGTACATGGAAGCAATGCTAGGAATTCTCTCTGTACGGCTATCCTTATCTCAATTAAATTAGCAAAAACACTATGTCTTTCTTATTATTGCTTATGTCTACTCTTCAACAAAATTGGAGAAAAGGGCAGAACAGGTTCTGCCTGGAAATGAGGGGGTTGGGGAGGGAAAGGGAGGGGGCAGAAATGGCCCCAACAATGTATGCACATATGAATAAATGAATAAAAAAAAAAGAATGTGAGTCCCCAGATTAAATGTCCCACTCAACAAGTAGCTAGAAGAATGAATAAAACTGTAACACTGAGGCATACTATTATAAACTCACTGGGGTTAAAGAGAAAAGTTCCTAAAGGTTTCCTGGGCCAGGAGTAGGAAGGGAGTGGTAGAGTAGGGAATGGACAGGGAAGATCACTTCAGAAGAATGGGCATCAAGTATATGTGATTTTAAAATAGCAACACTGGATTTTGGAAGATAATTATTCAATGTCTTCAGAAGAAAAATCATTCTCAACTTATAATTTTATAGCCAAAGTTTTAAACAAGAGTAAGTGGAAGAAATCTGTTTTCACAAATACAAAGACCAAAACCATTTACCTCCCTTTCTTTGATGTGCTCCTACAAAAGGAAACAAAAAATCAAGAAGAAAGAAGACATGGGACCTGGGAAAATGGGCACCAACATAGAAAGAAAGTGAAGACAAATCGTAGGATGCCATCTGTGCACCAGGTATTCGATGGGTGAGCTGTCTTAACCTGGCTGCTCCTGAACTTCTGCTCCATTTTCTTTGCTCTCTAATTCCAAGAGTCTCCTTAATTATGTATTGTCCTTTTTGAATTGATTTTCTTAAAAAAATTGTCCCTTTTTTTGATTGTACTATTCTTTTTTTGTACTTTTGATTTTGTTTTCTACATTTCTAGTATTTTTTTTCTCTGCATTGCAATCAAATTTTAAAATTAGAGACCTTTTACCCTATGGTTACTTCTTCATAGTACCTTTCATGTATTTATTTATTTATTTATTTAGTTAGTTAGGTAGGTAGGTAGTCAGTTAGTTACTTAGTTATTTAGGTGCTACTAGGTTTGAACTCAGGGCATTGTGCTTGCTAGGCACATGCTCTACTGCTTGAACCACACCTCCAGCCCTTTGTGCTCTGGTTATTTTGGAAATAGAGTCTGTTTTTGCCCAGACCAGCCTGGACACTGATCCTCCTATTTTACACTTCCTGCCATTGCTGGGATGACAAGTGTATGCCACCATGCCCAGCTTTTTTCTGTTGGGATGGGGTCTTGAAAACTTTTTTGCTGGGCTGGCCTCACATTGCGATGCTGCTGATCTTAGCCTCCCATGTAGCTGGGGTGACAGGCATGAGTTACCAGTATGCTTAGTTCTTGCTCTTATTTTTAGTGAGCCTAATATTTTCTCTTAACTCTCCAAGGGTACCTTCTCTTGATTTCTGTATTATCTATTTCATATAGGTTCCATTTTGCCTCTTTTTTGCTCTGGACATTTGTTTTTAATTTTGGAGGTTTAACAGGAGATTAAAAAGAGTTATGGGGCAATTTCTATAACTATGATGTATTTCTTATGCTCAAAAATGAAGAATTATTCAGAAGGATCCTAATTTTTCCCACATCTAATATACCACATTATTAAAACTACATAGAAAATTCAGAAAGCAAATAACAAATGATTTCTAAAAATAAGTTTAATTCAACAAGTTAAAATAATTAATAAGGTAGCTGTAATTAAATTTTGAAAAAGTATTGAAAAGACAAGCATAGGCATGGGAGGAAAATCATAAAACAAATTTGTCAACAAGAATAATAAAACATAAGGCAGAAATAATCAATAAATTAATTTGTTAAATTAATAGTTTTACTTTCTAAGCTAAATTTTAAGTTGGATTTTATAATATAAACAGTGATAAGTATATCCTCATTCATATTATGCTCTCAGCAACATATTTTTTCCTATTCTTATTCATTTCCTTTTGAGATACTGTATTTGTAGGGCAATCTGTGGCTGTCAGTGAAGACTATATCTTAATTTGAGAAATGATCAAAGTTGTTCACAAAATGCTAGATTAGAAAGTTGAATACAGTTTCTTTCATTGCCTATTATAACATTAAGTAAAATTCCAAAAACCTTGATGTTTTCCACTTAATGTCTTCTAACTGCTTCCTTCTAGGTGGCACTTGAGGGAACAACAAGAAGATTATAATATTGAAATTAAGTAGCAGTAGAACAATGACCTCCATGCTCACACCACAGTGCTCTTTACCTCCTGGCTCCTGAATGTTTTAATGGTTAGAAAGAACTTCCTGGTATTTTGGGGGTATTGTAGTTGCTATCATCCATATGTATATAAGGATATATATTTAGTATATACAAATATCCTTACATATACTAAACAGACCTGGGGGAAATTACTCCATTGTTTAATATGAAAGATAAAATATCTGACCTGTATGTATACCAGATTCTGAGGTGCCATATCTAACTTGAGATTTAATCCATACTGAAGAGTATCTGCTAGATTAGAGTAGTAGAGGATTTATGCAGATACAAAATCACTTGGTAAAATGATTAGGACAGGAAAGAGAAAATGCTAAGCTTTTGGAATAAAATAATAATGATATAATGAAAACTAAACCATTTATCAGAAACTGATAAATATTTATTAAATGAATCCATGAATATATATAAAGCAGCAAAAAATGAGAGTTATCACCTTTGGATTTGACCTATTTCCTTGTGGCTTATTTTGGTATATTATTTTTATAGAAACATAACTATTTTAAATGATAGAATTATCAAATTTAATGTGCAACCATTCAACCCCATGGTAAACTGAAGAACTAAATTATGGCATAAATAATCTACTCAATAATATTTGAATTCCAATAGTTTAGATAAAAGACTTTAAAAGCAACTCATATATTCATTTAGCTAATATAACTGAATATTAATTGGGCTTTCACTATATGATGCCAAGTACCATGTGGAGTGCTAAGGAAACAGTGGTGAGCAAAATAGGCATTGCTCCTATTATCATCAGTAAACAAAAGGCCACTCAATAACAACAACAACAAAACTAAATAATTATTCTGAGAAAGATCTTAAAGAAAAGCTGTAGCACAAGGTGGGTGCTTGTAACAGAAACCACCTTTAAACTGTATCCTGACATCCTTTAAAAGGACGTTACTCTGAAACAGGCAGAGTGGAGAAGGGGCAATGAGGGGGACACATGGTGGAGATGGCATCCTGGGTCCCTGTGACTCATACCCTTTTGATGTTGAGGATGACATTTTATCAACATTCAGAGTATTCAAGAGTAAAATCCAGCAGGTAATAGTATTAGTATTTTTACTTTGTCTACAAGAAGATTCCATATTTCTGAATAATTATGTTCAAAGATCTTTTTTGATTATTCGAATTTTATTATAACATAATTTCCTTTATCACACATTCACAGTTATGAGCAATCTCTAAACAAAAAATTTGCTTAATACCATTTTTTCCTTGGGTGTTTACTTTGTTTTTCTGTAAAGTTTAAGGCTTCAAAAAGGGGATTTCGTATGTTTTTTAGTAAAGTGAGTAATATCATTAGTGAGCCTGGAGAGATTATTTGTGATTCACAATGAAAATTTTCTCAGACTTGTAACGTGAATATTACCATCATGTACTGGCCTTAAACTTTTAATATTTCCATGAGTTGCATTTTCTTAAATCCAACTTAAGAACTGGTAGAGGACTTTATTACTTACAGTTGAAGTGTGAAAATCGTGGACTAGACAGGAAGCAACTATGATCCTGCCAAGAGGATGAGTGATCTAACCCGTGAGCGTGGGAACCTTCAGCAAAGGTTCTCTCATCCTAAGAAAGAAAGCATAGTGTTTCAGCTCCTTTATTACAAAAATGTAAGAACTGAGACTCATTTATGCATTCTGAAATTGAACTTTAATATGAAAGCTACTATACATGCACAATTTACTATGATTGTAATCCTTGTAAAAATAACATAAGTGCTTGTTAAAGAAAACATAAAAAGTGGAAAGACACCATTCATTGCTATGGCAGCATGACATATTTCTTTCCAGTCTTTTTTCCCCCTATGAATAGGATTTGTAAACAAAGTTATAAAACTTCATATTAGTTACATTCATACTATAAACATTTGGAAGTCATTATATTGTCTTAACCTTTAGCCTAAGGGTTACTCATATACTATCTAGTGGATATAGTATGCTTTACTCAGTCATTATTTTACTTGGCATTTAGGTGGTTTCCAGTGTTTTACTCCTACAAATAACATTGTGAGAAATATCTTTAAGTATATAAACTTTTCCATATTTAAGTCTATTCCTCATGACAAATTCTAGGGTAGAAATAGTGAGTCAATAAAAACAATTTGATGTTTTTAATGCATGTAGCTAGACTGCTCTCCCTAATGATTATACTATTTACTCATTCAACAAATATTTAATACATAAATAAAAATGAGTGCACAAAGGTCTATGTCCTCACATGCATATGAATGTGTTCTTCTTCCCAAGTCTTACCTGAAAATGAGGACTATAACTTTAAGTAATTTTACTAATTAAATAAGTAAAATAGCTGTTTAATATATTTTACTAGACAGCAAAATTGCAATTTTTTCTTGTAAAAGTTTTCTATTTATTTTCTGTACTTTTTTTTCCCTTTCTTTCACTCATTCATTCAAGAACAATTTTGGGACAAGCTGTTATGTGCTGTGCAAAGAACAAACAGAAGTTTGAGGTATAAGGTCAGGAAATCTTCAGGCTTGCAAGGAAGAAAGACATTATATAGACTGCACAAAACTTGACATAATTACAAAGTATGATAAGTGCTATAAGAACATTAAATTACAGGAAGACCAAATTTATATTTGAGGACCAAGAACACCCCAGTGAGAGGTGATATTTAAGGCAATATTTGAATGCTAAGTATGAATCAATGAACCAACCAGGTAAAAACTTAGGGATGGGGAGTGTATGAAGATGGAAAGTGGGATGGGGAAACAAGGAATGATGTTGAAGACTCATGCAAATGCTGAGGTGAGAAAGAACCGGTACATTTGAAGAATGGAAGGAAGTCTTATGGCTTAGGCATACTGGGAGCCATGGTTACAGAGGTGGCTAATGCCATGTTTAGGATTTGAGACTGTATTTCTTAAATACAGTCAGAAGGCAATCAAGAATTTTAAGATGAGGAATGACAAGCTTTGATTTATATTTTCTAAGGGTTGCTTCTGCCTCTGTGTAGAGGACATACTGGAATAGTACAGATGTTGCAGAGGGAATATCAATTAAAAGACTGTGAATAAGGAGAGCTGTGAGGTTTGGAGAAAAGGAGAGACTGAGTATGTTGTCAAAGATTCTACATGAAACTGTGAGTTAGGTGCCCCAAAAGACTTCTCAAAATACGGCCCCCACATATAGTACAACCTTGTGAAATAAGACCCTTTGATGAATTACTGTCATTTTCTGCACCAAAGACCAACATAATATTTTATTTTTTGTCACAAACATTGGTACACTAATGCAAAACAAAAGACAAATATATTCTGAGTGAAAGGTATGGATGTTAGCCTTTAGGTACCATAAGAATATTTAGGTCTATTAAGACAAACACCTTCAGGTTTTCTACCAAATGAATTTTTGGTTCTAATTAATGAGGATTCATTAGAAACTTATTCACTGTAGGATCTTTGGAATGGAAAGGATATACACTGAAACTCAACTGTATTCCAACTAGTTTAGAATAAGCTGACACTGGTGACCAGAGGCAAATGAGGTTATGTTCAGATGTGAAATGTTAATGGCCTGGATGGAAATACATAAATGGAAAGGAGGGGAAAGTCTTACCCAATGCTAGAAATCTCTATTAAATCCTGGTTTAGATTTGAAGCATGGAAAAGGGAAGCATTAATAAGTGGCTTCCCACTAAAAGATGCTTTGATGATTATGGGCCAATAAGAGAAAGGAAAAATAAGGGAAAGTTAACAAACATTTTGCCCATTGACACCTCAACTGAGAAGATAGTGAAAGGACAGGAGTACAGATATAGATTTGGACATTTTGCTGAAACAGAGTACAGTGATTGCCTCAAAATGCCTTCTAGAGAACCGGTGAAGTAAAGAAATTTAAATAATATTAATTCTTCTAAAAGGCATGGTTCTAAATTTTAAAACAAAAATCAACTGGTATCAAAAGGTCGTATTTCTTCTGTTTACAAAACAAGAACAATTTATATTTTTAGTGTTCAAATCAACTTGTTGGCATATGATGGTTAAAATATGGCAGTGACAGTCTTAGGAAATTCAGAAAATGAAAGAAAACTTTAAGAAGAAAATAAGTAATTCAAAATTGAAAATACTTCATTAGCCTAATTTAAGGGTACATTTTTGTAGCTCTTATTTATAAATATCTTTTAACTGAAATCACCATTTGTTGATAATTTTCTTCATCCCTTCTTTCCTGAGTTGGGGATTAAACTCAAAGTATTACACATGATAAGCACATGTTCTCCCACTGAGCTGCATCCCCAGCCCGTCCTACTTTTTCATCACATAACACTGGATATGGGAATTTTTTTCTGTCAGTATTTACTAACCTGCCATAATTTTAAGGTTGATTTCATTTTTTTTCGATTACAAGTAAATATAATAGACACCTAAACATACACTTAATAAATGAACATACACTTAAAAAAATGAAGGGCAGGAGGTAACATAGGTCTGTTCTGGGGATGGGCACCAGTTGGAGGGGGATGTGAATAACGAAAGGGTGAATGAGGGTGAATATGGTGGATGTATTTTGTATTCATACGTGAAAATAGAAGAATGAAACCAGATTAAATTGTTCTAAGAAGGAAGGGTAAGGGTAAATTTAACTAAGATATATTGTACACACATGTAAATATCACAATGTATCCCCTTGTACAATTATTATATGCTAATAAATTTTTTAAAAAAAGAAAAGAAAATATTCTGAATGACTCCCCAAAAGAAAAAAAGCAAATATTTGATAATATGCATTTAAATTTTATTTAATATAGATTCCTAGAATTACTGGGTGATTTTATGTCCACTTCACTGTAGTTGTCAAAGTTACAGGTAGAGTTGTTCACAGTATTTCCTAATTATCCTGTTAAGGTGATTAAGAACTCTAGCAATGTACCATATTTCATCCCTAATATTGGCCATTTGTTTCTTCTCTTTTTTTAATCATCTGGCTAGAGTTTTAAAATTTTTATCATTTAAAAAAAATTCAGTTTTGGTTTAATTTGTTCTTGCTGTTTATCTGCTTTATGTTTTTATTTCATTGATTTCTGTACCTATCTTTATTCTTCCCTTGCTTCTATAAACTTTTGGTTTAATTTGCTCTTTTTTTTTCTGGTTTCTTATGACGGAGATTCAGATTACTGATTTGAGACTTTTCATCTTTTATAGTATTCATATTTAATGTTGCAAATTTCCCTCCAAGAACTTTTTAAATTGATTCCCCAAATTTTGTTTTTATATTTATAAAAGTTCTGTTTTTATTCTTATATAGTTAAGTATTCTGATTTTCCTTTGTATTTCTTCTGTGACCCATGCTTAGATTATGTAGAAGTGTATTGTTTAATTTCTAAATATTTGTGACTTTCTCAGATATCTTTCTGTTATTGATTTCTACTTTCATTTTGGGTAAATGATGCATTTTTCATAATTTCAATCATCTTAAACTTATTGAAACTTTTTTTCTCACCTAGAATATAGTCCATTTTGGAGAATGTTCAATGTGTACTTAAAAAATAGGTATAATAAGCTATTCTTCAGGGATGATTCTGTAATGTCGGCTGATAGGGTTACTGAAGTCTGTTTTTATCTTCACTGATTTTCTGCCTAATGCATTATCAATTGCTAGAAAAGGAATGTTGAAATTTATGTTTATAGATTTGTCTATTTTTCTTTATAGTTTCACCAGTTTTTGCTTCATATATTTTGATACATAGGTGAATGTACATTGAAGGCTGTTATTCCTTCCCTTTAGAATGGCTTATTCATTCATGATTCAACTACCCATATTTCTTTCCTTTATCTATGGAAAAGGAGGAGGTTTAATTACATCTTTGAGTTCTAACATTTCATGTCTTCAAAGAACTGCCAGAACCTCCCATATCACCTTGAAACATGACCAGGAAAATTAACCGTCTTAGAAAAATATTTCATAATCCTTTTGAACAATCAACATACCAGAATATGAAAAAATTACCTTCGCCTCCAATTCTATGTTGCTATTTAATCTGTACAATTGCTATGTAAGTATATTTTAGAAGTGACTATAAAATGAATGTTTCCTTTTAATTCCTATCTCTGAATCAAATACTTGAATAATAAAAAGAAAATATCTATTAAGAGTAAAATTCTTTGTAATTTATTAATCCCAGTATTTACTTTTTTTTAAACAATACTTATATACTTAGCAAAAGTATGTATTTTTATTGCTTTCTAAAATCTCAATAGGTTAGTTAGCCAGAATTCTATGGAAAAATTCCATTGGATGAAGGAAATTGCATTTTCTAAGATTTTCCCTGGGCTGCTACTACTTTTCCTTCATAATCCACATTGCTACTGGTTTCTTAAAAGCTGTTCTGACATGATTAAATTTCTCTGCTAAACTTATAGGTAATGATTAATATTTGATGCCCACCAAGTATTTTTCTCTCAGAATATTATAAGTTCAAAGTTTATAAGATAAATAATACATTTAATGTTTGAATTTTAACTTATTCTATCCTTCCCCTGGAGTGAAGGGGAAAAAAGTATGTATTGGTGCATCTGTG